AGGGTTGAGTGGAAGAGAAGGACTTAGGTCCTTAACTACGCCCTGTACACTTATACTTTCATTATTAAGTTATAGATAATGTAATGATTTCAATTAATAAAAGGCATTATTATTATTATAAGAATGAAATAGAAGAATATTATGTTGATAATATTATTTTGAAAAATAATGTTTCTAAATTAGATACGATTCTTAAAGTTAAAATAGCAAAATCAGACCAATTTTTTTTTTGTAAATTAGATACAGGAGCAGAAATAAATGCAATGCCTTACTATATTTTCAAAAATGTAACTAACTTTAATAATAATTTAGAGAAATTTGAAGGAAAAAGAGTTAGTGGTCTTTATAGTAATAGAAACTAAACATAATAATCAAAGTACTATTATAGGGTTAAAAACTATAAATGATCGAGTAATTGTGCCGAAATTAAATTGGGAAATAATAATAATTCTATAATAACTAGGAAAAGTATTACTGAGCTGATTGCTCAAAATGATAATTTGTTTAAGGGGGTAAGAAAAATAAACATGATACCATATGACTTTAAAATAAAAAATAAATATCAATTAGTTACACCGTTGAAAAATGAATTAAAAAGAGTGGAAAATGATGGTATTATAATTAACCCTTTCGTTACTAAGAGCGTACGCATACGTTTTTGTATATATGGGCTTGCTAAATGATCTTGAAAATACTCCGTAACGAAAGGGTTAAAGAGTGTAATGAGACCGAATTTGTACATCCGATAGTAATAGTTAAAAAACAAGGTGATAAAATTAGATTGTGTTTAGATCCAAAATATTTGAATGAGATAATAGTTAAAGATTATTATACATTACCAACTTTTGAAGATTTAACATACCAAGTGTTGGGTTTTAAATTTTTTACTTTGAAAGAATGTTTAATGAGAGATTACAGGATATGACTAAGGAAGAAGTTGAGAAAAGAGAAGAAGAGTTAGAGGTGAGAGAAGATAGACAAGAAGATATTGAAGGGTCGGGAGAAATACATAGAAACGAGCTAGAAAATCTAGATGTTTCTAAAAAGTTAAAAATTGAGAGAAGTATAAGACCACAAAGACAAAAAAGAACCCCGACATATTTAAATGATTATGTTCGATAAATTAGATAAGTGTATAGCTATATAAATAATAAGTTAGATTACTTATACGTTATTTTTAGGTTTATAAAAAAATAAATATATATATATATATATATATATATAGTTAAAGAAGGGAGATGTTGTGATGTAAGTTGCCTAGATTTCCAGAAGATATTTGTAAAGGTTAGGGGGTTTCTAGCAGGCGTCATTCGACAGAAAACCATTATAACAGTCTCATGCAAAATGTAATAGAAACTGATAGAAACGTAATAAACAACTTCAATCATAAAATATATATTGTTTATATATAACAAACAATAACATAACAATAAGGTAAGAGTAAACGAAAATAAAGTATTAACTTTAACTACCTGTTGATGATTTGGAACGTTTAAGTTTTTATTTTTAAAAGAATGGGTTTTGCAATCGAGCAGATGTTGTTGGGAAACTACTTACCGGTAAGAAACTGCAGTTGAAATTTGGACTCGTACCGTTGGAGGCATTATTCGGGTGGACACTTATGGGAAAAATAAAAACGACAAAAGTTTCAAAAGGGAACGTTTTTGCCACTAGCACGTCGTTGTTGACAAAAGATATGCCGATTTCAAAACTTTAGCAGCTGGATGTACTAGGAATTTCGGATCCAGAAGAGAACCGGTCTAAAGTTGAATTAGAAAAGGCAGTTAAAACATTGTTTAAGGAGACGACAGTGGTAAATGAAGAAGGACGGTATGAGGTGCAGTTGCCTTGGAAGGAAGGACATCCACCATTACCGAATAATTACAATTTGGCGAAGAAGAGACTTCAATCTGTATACAACAAACTTCAAGCAACTGGCGATGTTGAAAGATACTCTGATGTTTTTGCACAGTGGTTGTCGGAAGGGATTATAGAAACGATACCCCAAGATAAAATCGACAATACCGCACATTATTTACCGCATTCAAAGAGTCCAGTACCACAACTAAGGTGCGTCCGGTATTTGATGCTTCAGCCAAGGAAAAGGAAGACCATCTCTAAACGATTGCTTGGAAAAAGGTATAAATTTGATTGAGTTGATTCCTGATGTGTTGTTACGCTTTAGAATAGGAAGGGTTGGAGTAACATCGGATATCAGAAAAGCGTTTTTACAAATTAGCCTGAATGTCAGTGATAGAGATTTCCTGAAATTCATATGGAAGACAGACGAAGGAAAAGATTTACTATATCGTCACCGAAGGGTGGTATTTGGGGTGAATTCATGTCCTTTTCTACTCGGCGCTACTTTAGAGCAACATATTGAAAAATGTTGTGGAGGAGAAGGGGAAAACATTTATTGTGAATCCACTGTAAACCGGTTAAGAAAAGCATTTTAAGTAGACAATTGTGTCACTAGCGTACCGGATGAGCAAACAAAAGATCTTTTCGTAAGAGAAGCCACTGCGCTGATGGCCGAAGGTGGGTTTGAGTTGACAGGGTGGGAGTGTAGCAAGATAGAAAGTTTGGAAGATCACATTGTGCCATTATTGGGATTAAATTGGAATACAACACATGATACTCTAATGCTTTGTTATACACCTAAGACAACGAATAGCGTGATTACGAAGACAATTGTTCTTTCTTACGCTCAGCGAATATTCGATCCAATTGGAGTAACCAGCCCCACAACTTTGTACCCTAAGCTGATGTTACAGGAAATGTGGAAAAATAAAATTGGATGGGATGAGATAGATGATGAAACGAACAAAATGTTTATGAAATGGGTGAGCGAATTACCATTCATTTTTCGTATAGAGGTTCCCAGGTGGATAAGAATGGGGCCAAACGAGAACTACAGGTCATCGCTACACACATTCTGCGATACTAGCGGCAGCGCTTATGCTGCGGCTGTCTTTTTGAGAGTTGAAACCTATGAAGGGGTCAAAACAATCTTGTTACAAGCAAGGTCGAGAGTGGCGCCGATCAAGAAGACGTCCATTCCAAGACTGGAATTGTTAGCGACTACAATTGGTGCTCGACTTGCTATAAGCGTGCAAGAAACTTTAAACGTCGTTGAGGATGTTTATTTCTGGACTAACCCTACCACGGTGCTTGGATGGATAAAACGTCGTCAAGAATGGTCAACTTTCGTGTGGAACAGGGTGAAGGAGATCAGGGAACACGAACGTAGAAGCATGGAAACATTTACCGGGTACAATTAACCCAGCGGATTTGCCATTTAGAGGGTGTTCTCCCAAACAATTGTTCGAATCGAAATGGTGGGAGGACCCTAAGTGGCTAATGAAACCTCCAAATGAATGGCGTGGGATTGAACCAGACGAAGATGAAGAAGAAATTAATGCTGAAAGAAAGAAAAAAACAATTGTGTCGATGATAAATATCAACGATGCAAGTCGTTTCTATCGATTTTTCTCAAGTTATAGGAAAAATGTTCGAATGATTGCTTGGATGTTGCGGTTTGTATGTAACTGTAGATATCCTGATATTTTACGTGAAAAATATTGGGTGATTGGAGGACGAAAAGCAATTCGAACTATCGTGAACGATTGTGTTATCTGCAAAAGATACACTGCAAAATGTGCGGAAGAGAAAGCCCCGCCTTTACCCACAAATTGTGTGAAAGATGCTGTTTGTTTTGAGGTTGTTGGAGTGGATTTGGCCGGTCCATTGTATTTACGCGATGGAGGAAAAACCTGGATATGTTTGTTCACGTGTGCTATTTATCGAGCGGTTCATTTAAAGTTGGTGGATTCGTTATCGACGGCAACATTCATAAGGGCTTTGAGAAGATTTATTGCTAGAAGGGGTAGACCATATGTGATCTATTCAGACAATGGGACAAATTTTGTCGGAACAGAAAATCTGTTTTCTAAATTAAATTGGGTAGAAGTATCAAATTTCGGCACAGCACAGAAGATCAAATGGTGTTTCAATCCGCCGTCTGCACCATGGTGGGGAGGTTGGTGGGAACGCCTTATAGGACTGCTCAAACAACTGTTAAAGAAAGTGCTGGGAAAAGCTAAATTGACACAAGACGAACTGTATACTGTTTTATGTGATTGTGAGTCTGTCGTAAATTCGCGACCATTAACATTTCTCTCGGAGCAAACGGAGGACTTAATTACTCTATCGCCGGTAGTGTTCTTGCGCGATCTTAGAGAAAGTGGTGTACCGGACTTGGATACCGTGGATAGAAACGCGTTAAACAGACGGTATCGATATTTGCAAAAGTTACGTGACGATTTGCGCAAAAGATTTCGGTCGGAATACCTAGGACAGTTACGACAAACGCGATTCGTGAAAAATCCGCGAAACGTGAGCTTGAACGAAGTGGTTTTAATTGGAAATGACAATTCGAAACGGCTTGACTGGATCATGGGACGGGTTATTGAACTGATACCTGGTATCGATGGAAAGGTGCGACTAGTGAAACTCCACACTCCATATGGATAAGTTATTCGTTCACTTCAGAGACTCTATCCCTTAGAGTGCACGAGTCAAGATTCAGAAGAGCAACCACTCCCCTTATTGACGTCGGAGCCAGCATCGGTTGAAGAAGATAGTGATAAGTGCGAGAGTGACGCTGTTCGGAAAACGCGATGTAGGCGCGAGGTCAAATTACCTATGAGATTTTGTGAGTAAGTGTCTCAGGTGGGAGAATGTTGATGATTTGGAACGTTTAAGTTTTTATTTTTAAAAGAATGGGTTTTGCAATCCAAAACGCAAAATAGTTGTTCGTTCGTTAGCAACAGTGTCATAGCGACACAAAAAAAAGATTATTAATAAATATTAGTTTTGTCATATAATTCGATTGTATTGTGTTCAACTGATTTAAGAAATAGAAAACCACAATTACTGGACGATTACTCAGAGAACGGGTAGTTCTCTTGTATGTGATCACGAAACACTATCTGTATCTTCTTCGTATTATTAACAAATTGGACTAACATAAATTGGGTTACATAGTAATGTAAGGAATTCACTGTTGCCCTGTGTCCTATTAGTAGCGGACCACCTGTATAGTTAAAATGTAGGGTAAACGCACCAGTGTTTGACCGAGCCATATTATTTTTCTTGTAGATCCCTTGTTACGTTTTTATTTTTTTTTCTGTTTCTTAGTGTTTCTTCTCAATAGACAGGTAGCAAAATTTGTTTTATATTTTTTTTGTTTCAGCAGCAGAATTTGAGAATCCTTTGTCCTTACCTTTCCTTTTACCCATTAGATGTCGTTATTCCTTATTTCTTTAAAATTTTGTTTGCAAAATATCTATTAATAATCTTATTAATTTTTTTGGGAGGGAGGATTTTTTTTGTTTGTTAATAAGGGATTTAGTTTTTAAATAAAAGACAGATGTTTAATACCTACAGTATTTATTTTGACTTTTACTTTTGGGAGTTGCGCGATAAGGTACATTTTTTTTTTTGGAAATTCGAGTCGAGTATAAATTCGGACCGGTTTTGAAAACTCGGTCTCTTTGGTTTTGGTGACAATTCTCTCTGCCGGTAGTGAAGAAAAGCAACGACGAGTGTAAATCAGCGTAGATAGACATTTTGGAAAATTTGCGATTAAATTTTGGCGTCTTGAGGCTAATCCGAAGACATCGGAAATATCACTCCCGTTTGAAAGTCGCGGTTAAGTCTTTTCTATAACCCGACCCGGATATTTTAACCGGATTTAATATTTTCCACCATTTTCCATAAATTTTTGGGCGTAGACCTCGACCAACTGAGGTAAGAGTTGCTTATTTCGGTTAATCATAACTTTTCCCATCCATATCACAACATCCTTATTATTTATTGTTCCATAATTTCATTGATTAGATTTACCCCTTTCATCTTTAAAAAAAAAAAAAAAAGAAAATGAACCGTTCACACATTCATCCGTTCATTCTTAGCGAATTTTTTTTTTCTAATCGGTATTTACGATCCGTAGGTCTTTCTTTTGGGGGAACCATTTTTTTAAAAGAAATTCTTGGTCCTAAAATTCTGAGCACGTTTTAATAACTTCAATACCACTGGATATCCACTCCTTACCATACCATCTCGAAGGAAGCTGCTGAAGATCTTTGTGTTGTTAAATTTTCGTTATTGTATGAACCTCTTGTTTCCAACATCACTTCACAATCAGTGCCCGTTGCGAATTAACGGATTGTGTGGCGCCTTAAAAAATCGAACCTTCCCTTCACCAAACGAGTTTGCCGGGGAGTTCCTTTTTCTTTATAAATAAGATTTTACTTTGGAACGTTAAACATCTTGGCTGCTTTTTCATCAGATAAACCCCTACTTCTTACATCGAGAGTCTTTTAAAGATCTTCTTCACTATTTTTAAACATAGGTTTCGTTGTCATATTGGTACTAAAAAAATGTTTACCTGATTCATATTTGCTAAATTTTCCATACAGATTTTCCATTTTTTGATAATTGACCACTATAAGAGTCACGTTTGACCAACCGTTTATCCTTTTAATTTTACACTGACTCATTACTGCTTAAGTGCGGTCAATTACTTTTATTGTTATAAAAAAGGTTTAAAAAAACATTTACACTTATATTTATATTAATCTTAAATATTTATAAAATTTTAAATCGGTTAAAAAACTCAGTTTTGAGTGTTTGTGACCGCATATTTAAACTGATTGTATCTCACTTTTAAAGTATAAAAGTTTTGGNTTCAAGTGATTTAAGAATAAAACCAAATAGAAAACCACAATTACTGGACGATTGCTCAGAGAACGGGTAGTTCTCTTGTATGTGATCACGAAACAATCATCACCATTTTTAGCCATACGATGTTTACAGGAAGTAGCATACAAAAACATGGAAGATGAACCAGAAGCGTGCAATATAATTTTAAAACATTTTTTATGTTGATGATCTGTTAACAGGTTCAAATTCGGTTGAAACTTGCATTGAGTTAAAGCATAAAATCACAAATTTACTTGTAACAAGAGGATTTTTTGTCACGAAGTGGCAAAGTAAATATTTTTATCTACAACTGATTATTTATTTTTATCTGGTGGGCGCTGGTTAACAACAAAATCTTGGTTTTACGTTTCCATAAACTTTATTATTAATTACACTTAAACTTAATACATATAAATTGCGATTAGTTATATAGCGAGAGTTATATAGGGAGCCTTGCTCCGCGTGAATTGAAGGGGTACTGTTTCGGTGGGTGTTAAATCGAAGACTGACTGAATGACTGATACGAGTTGAGCTCGCAGGCTCCTTCTTTATTTAAGGTCATAACTAAAAACCCTTACCTAAACACCGAAATATACACCCCAACGCATTCCCACACTTAACTCAACCCAAAAAATAATGCGATAAAAAACCCTAATCTTGCGACTCGAGACCCTTCAAATCCAGACTAAACAAATGAGGCGATACAAAAAAATCCAATATAAATGAGCTAATATAATATAAAATCTAACAACAACTATTGAATTATCTATTCGTTATACATTTGATTTTTGACGGGTAATGACACGCATTACTCATGACTGACAAAGTGTTGAATAATGAAGCCATTATTATATCAAAAAATAGAATATTAATAGAAATGACAGCTTTCTTATATTGAGATTATGCCTGAAATGTCTATCAAGTTTTATTTTTCTTTTTTTCAACTTGCGTATAATGGATGTTACCCACTCAGATTGCAACTTCGTCTTCGTGGGTAACAGCCGCCATTATACGCTTGTTGAATAATATACTATTATCTACGACTGCTTGGATAAGTCATCATTACCACACTCATTTAAGGTGATTTGAGTTACGTAATGAAGTTCATTACCGCACTGGTTTCATTACGTAACGCATTTTTATCCCAATTAGAACAGACTTAATTTATTAAAACGAGCAACAATACAAAAGAAAAAGTGCTACTTATATAAAGAGAAACAATACTATTTCTTATAAACATTAATTGTTATGTTTTTACATTTCGAAACACTTATTCCAGATGAGTAAACATGTTATTGAAAGTGACAGTAATTCAAAATTGTTAACAATCATTTCAAATTATTTTTATAAATGTCAAATAGGCGTTTTTAAAGAAATCGATTTTTAAGTAATTTTTAGCAGTCATAGATAAAATGTTGTATATCACACGTGGGCTAGAGCATAATTACAGTACTCGGTCTAGGACCTCGTCTTACAATTCTTCAATTGTTCAATTGTCAATATAAATAACTATAATATGTATATCAAACGATGACAACATGGAAAAATTAATGGTTGAAGATAAGGAAATCAAAGCTTTAGGTTTGTCATGGAATCCTAAGAATGATGTTTTTAATTTTCGATAAATTAAAATTGAAGAAACTAAAGCAACAAAGAGAAACATTTTGTCATTTATTTCAAGTATATTCGATCCACTTGGATTAATAGGTCCATTGACAATCAAAGCAAAAATTTTATCACAACGATTATGGGTTTTAAAAATTAATTGGGACGAATCATTGCCCAAAGATTTACATTATGAATGGACTCAAATATACAAACAATTGGATACATTAAGGGTTCTTGAAATACCAAGGTATGCAACTTGTATCAAGTTTCATTCAGCTGAAATTCATGTATTCTGTGATGCATCTGAAGCCGCATACGGAGCTTGTATTTATTTACGAACAAGAGATGAAACAGATCAGTACCATGTACAGTTATTATGTGCAACATCACGTGTTGCATCATTAAAACAACAAACATTACCACGATTAGAACTATGCGGGGCTGTTTTGGCAGCAAAATTGAGTAGAAAAATAAAAAATGTGTTACAACACATGACTATTGATTCAATACATTACACAGTGCAACAGCAATTCTGGGGGGTGAAAAATTTTAAGTCAGGGTGAAAGTACTAGGTCCATATAGTAAAACCTCCAAAGGGTTTGGCGTTCTCAGAGCAAACTTTTTTTATGGCCTTTTATATTTCTTTCATTATCTTGATGTTTGTTTGCTTAGTTTTTCAGTTATAACTCAAGAATCATTGATGATTTCTCATTTCCTTCTTCAACAAAGACTAAGGCTTAAGTAAATAATTTTGATTAATATATCCATGTAAAAAATTAAGTTGGACTAATTTTATAGACTGAAATCTTCAAAAAATTGTCAAATTTAGAAAAAAAAAATTCTCTTTGAAAAATAACATCTTCACTCGAGAGTTCTACGAATTGTAACTATCAAAAAGTATTCTAATATAAGTACATAGTAATATAGTGGTACTATATTAGAGAGAGAGCACAATATTTATTTGGAATATAAAAATAATAACTATAACAAATACGAATAAATTAAAAAAAATACATATATAAAACAAATATAAGATACGTCCAAAAGGGCTATAGACCTGAGTCTTCCTGCCCGAAGAGCATTGATTTGATGAAAATTAACAAAAATTAAGGACACACAAAGTTTAAAGAAGAACAAAGTTTATATGTTCATAAACATTGCTTTAGAGTCTAGGCCTTTTCGATGATGATTGCTCGGGGCTGGTGTCATCGCTATCGCAATCATCGCTGTCATCAGTTTCTGAGCCACACATAATGTCAACTTGTGACTCCATTGCTGACCCTACTGCAAGTTCTGAAAATTCTTCATCATCAGGATAATCCATGTCTTCGAACACATGTCTACCCCACCAGGTCAGCGACTGTTTTCCTCTGTATCTGTCATTTGTTTTTTTATTAAAATGAGTTTAAAAAAATCTCATAGATATTACCTAATTTCAAATGGCATAGCAACTTGATGATAGCATTCGCCTTGTTCATCAGATTCAGTGGCCAATTGTCCGCTGAAGTAGTGC